GCGTGTGCGTGTGCGTGTGCGTGTGCGTGTGCGTGTGCGTGTGCGTGTGCGTGTGCGTGTGCGTGTGCGTGTGCGTGTGCGTGTGCGTGTGTGTGTGTTTTTTTGCGCACACGCCTTTTCATGCTGCAAGGTCTATGCCAGCCATCGCCAATATGTAAAATGGCGGTTCCGTTCTGGAATCTTCATGGCCCCTGGATGGTGAAAAAAAGTGGCGCTAAGCCACAATGAAGAAATCACAACAGCAAAAATCGTGCCTTCCTTGGTCTCAGCGTCAGGTCAAAGGATCTGCCAACATGCGAAGGAGCTCAGCAGTTGAAGAGCGGCATGGGTCAGGTGAAGGTGTGTAGAATGGCTGCTGGAGCCTCTCCGTTTTCACAAGCCAGGCCATGGTGGTATTTTCCTGAATCCAATTGGGCTGAGTCCAGACGGCTTCCGGTTTGCGCCAGTCATCGGTGATCAGCCACTGAATCGGATTGTTGCTCTGTCCAATCATGGAACGAATTTTCATGGCCGCTCTGTAGTGGCCAGCAGCATCAGAACCCAAGTGGGACATCACCGCAACCACCGTGTATCCATGAAAAACATGTGCAATGCCATCTCCATTGAAGACAGGAAAAAAGCACTCTTCATCCGTCTGCAGTTTGCTCCTACATTTGGAAATTGACATGTCAGGATTCAGGACACATCTGTCAATGTGCACGCACAGGCAGTCAGGTGCATGAAGAAGCGCTGTAGTCATGCCATCCACCTGTTGCCAAGTTGAAATCAAGGAGTTCAGGGTGCAAAAGTCAGATCGCACTGAGAGTTCATCAAACTTGAAGCATATGGGCATGTAACGCTCTCTGCTTGCATCCATTGCATGAGGAGCATCTGAAATGATCACACGTTTTTCCCACTGCATCCCAAAGGCTGAGGTCTGCATTTGCTGCAACCAAACATGAATAAACTCTGACGAGTCCTGTTGTGAGATGGTGGACGCAAGGTGTCCAAGGTCATCTCGGCCCCAACACTGCAAGATCTCACGAAAGAAAGGCTGAATGGCTAAGCTACACAGCCCATGGCGGGCAGTCAGCAAAAAATTCATGATCTCTTGACATTGCGTACCCCAAAGTGCTGGCTCATAGGTTCGAAGATTCAACAACGTCCAAAGCATGGAGTAAACTGCCACATTGCAGAAGCACCAATTGTTCGGGTTGGCAAGCTCCATCTTAGAGACAATTTCAATCATCTGAGACTGATCAATCATGCCTCGGTTTTGAGCTCCTTCATGGCTTTGCCTTTGTGGCGCGTTTTGCCCTTGCCCTGACCCTTGTTCGGTTTCAGTCCCAAGCTGATCTCGATGTTGGTCGCCAGGGAGCTTTGGTGTTGGTTGTGCAGCTTGAGGCTGGCCGCCAGGAGCGTCCAGATTTGGGACTGAGCCAGGTGTGCCAGCAGCTCGTACGTCCTGTCCTCCCTGCATGACATCTGAAGGCGCCATGGAGTCACCAAACTGCCCTGCTTGGTGGGCAGCGAGTGGAACTTCATGATGAGGTTGGCATTGCTGAAGCTGTCCATCAGTTCGGTGCAATGCTGGCTCATTTTGGTCAAGCTCACTGGAGTTTTGCTGGAGATCTGCAGGCGTTGCTCGTGTCCATTCCATTCCATGAACGGCACCGTCTTGTTCTCCAGCAAAATGTGGGACTTCCGAGCCGCCTGCATCAGTGGAGAATCTTCCTGAGCTTCCAGCAACTTGGTGACCCGTGTCGCCAGTGTATGGATCACTGTTTGCAACAGGACCTGTCTCAATGGCATCTTCGATGATGATGCACCCTCCTGCATGTCCTTGTGCCACTTGTCCGCCGCCTGCAGCAGCTGAGGGAGGACTCCCGTGTCTTCGTTGCAACTGAAATAGAAGATGAAGGTGGTTTCCCGCTGCAGCACCTGTAGGTCTCGATCCACTCTCAGAAGCAGTCGCGCCATCATTTCCAGGATCTTCCGTTGATCTTGGGCTTGTTCTTGGCGATGACCTGGTGGTGGAGCGCGGCCATTTGCTTCTTCGGCCGGAAGTCTGCGTTGTTTTTTGCTTGCGCCTGGGTTTGGCTGCAACTTCAGGTTGGGATCCAGGGGAAGCACCAGGTTCTGAAAGGATTGCAGCATCTGTTGAACTGCTCCATCGTTCTCCATCTGCCAGTCTGCTGGCTCCATAGTGGATATGGGAGAGCAGCACAGCAAGTTGCAAGACGCTTGGGCACTGTGCACGTACGTGTGCTTGAACCAGCTGTTTTCTGGAGGCAAGTGTGGCGGCATCTGTTGCTGCTGTTGGGGTATTGAAAATCTGGCCACATGCAAAGCAGGCACAATCACTATCGAAGTGAGGCATGACGTGCGGCTGCAATTGTGTGACATATGATTTGACTACCGAATGCAGACCGGAGTGCGCCTCATGCAGGTGATAGTACAGTTCTGCCGGCAGCATGTCGAGGCCACACAGCAAGCAGCTGCCACTCAGGGTGTCCAGCAACAAGGAGTCAGTCCACACCATCGTCAGATCGTATCTGCCAAGGGCTTGTTCCAGGGTTTCACGCTGGTCAGCTGGAACATGAGGAGGCAGGACCCTGGCAATCTCAGTGGTGCGCTGGCAAGCTGGCATGTAAATGGCATTGGGTAGGCGCACAAATTGCATTGCAAGCTGCCAAAATGGCAGGCAAATGTGATGAAGCCTGTTCACATTGCATGATGGGTTGCAAACACAGCCCAGGGTGCCATAGTACCGTTGAACCATCTGATGCACCAGAGATTGTGCAGCACTCCAGATCTCTGCATGGGAGCCCTGAATGTGTGCCGACAAGTCGGCGGCACGAGTGTACCTCTTGGGGCAGCATTGACACTGAAGCGTCAGGCGGAGCTTGTTGTGCGAACTCTGGAGCACCTGCTCAAAGGCACCTTGGCAGCAGGCTTCACGCCATATGTCCAGGACAGGGGAGGGTGTGGAAGAAAGATCTGGGTCAAACTTCTCACATCTGCCCTGGTTTATGTGAGAACGCAATCCAGCCATCGTTTGGAACAAAAGATGGCAGTGGTTGCAAACGGGATCTCCCTGGAAGCTATCCCTGCTTTCTTGCCAGACTGAGCTCACCAATCTGTGTTCTTGTCGCAGGTGGGCATGGAGTTCCTGAGAGGTTTCACAGGTGGTGCCACATATCTCGCACTGCAGATGCACCGGTAACTCAGTTGTTGAGGTAGCTGTCATCCTCGGGCCGTGGACAATCAAGAGGGCTACCTGGAACCATACGTTGCAGGAGTGACCATAGATGAAGGTCACCCCGCATGCTGTGCAAGGACTCTCATCGCTGTGCAGGTTCGTCAACTGAGTTGCCTTTGTCTGTACCTGGTCAATGGCTGCTCGGTGAACAGCTCTGACATGATGATGCATCGCTTGTGCCCTGCCTACGTATTGGCCGCACAGCAGGCAGTGACGGGAGAGATACAGGCAACTTGCACGTTCACGCAGCAGTTCAGGCCAACGTCGATGTTTGATCAGCGTCAAGAGACGTGGGCCAAATTCAAGCTTCTGGATGGTGTCGATATCCGCAGAAGTCAGCAGGGTGGTCACTCCTTCCGATGAGCCAGTTGGAGGGTTGGCTGAGTCAGCAAACGGCGCAATGGGCCGGGCAGTGCGTGCTTCCATTGAGGCAGCCTGGCAGCCACGTTGCACATGAATGATGAAACGTCTCCAAGTGGTGAATGACAGCCCACATTGCATACAAACAGGCAACCCTTGATGCATGTATTGTGATACCTGTGGAACAAATCTTCGATATCGTGCATTACCATGGACTTGTGTGCAATGTCGGCGCAAGACTGAGAGGCTCGAGGCACGAAATGAACAGTGTTGGCACTGGAAAATCATGTCTGTGGCCACCTCTGCAGAAGGTATCATGTTGTCAGGCACGAGCAGGCCTGAATCATGCACTGTGGCAATCAGGTCTTTGGCTGCTTGGACTGGACTCCAATCAAGTTGATTGCAAATGTCATGTGGTACGCAAGGCAAACGCTGCTTAGTGGCTGACAAGAGCAAGGTGTCAGCAGCACGCCATAGCCACAGCAAGGGGTGGTCAAGGCCGTGGAAATGTAGAGCTTGGGTATGGGTTCTACCTGTGTTATACGCATGGTCATGATGGATTTGGCGCAGCATGGTGATCATGGTGGTTTGCAGCATCTGGAGGCATTGTCGAGTGAGTCCTATCGTGAAAATACCATAGGTCAAAATGGGATAAACACAAGTGGACCATAATCGCAGTCTGGATTGTGCAATCAAACCCCGCCGTGCTGTGAGCCACTTCTTCAGTCTCGCAAACGCAACTTTTGCCAGGCCAACTCGATACTTCACGGTTGCATCTTCAAACTGCATGTAGCTGACCATGGCACCAAGGTATTTGGTTTGTTTCACAACTGGCAAGGTAAAAGTCTTGGCGCGGCCTTTGATTTCAATCCATTCACCATCTCTGTTAAAAAAGGTCAAGGTGGATCTGGCTTGGCGAAAATTGGTGCCACCCATCGTGAGAATAACAGCTGATTTCGTGGTGTTGATCACCAACCCTTTGTCTTGCAAAACTTCCATGATGATCCCAAAGTAGTACAAAATGCGACTCAACCCTGACAAGTCATGAAAGGTGCAACATGCATGGATGTCGTCTGCATATATGTTCATGTGGGCACACAGCCACCGCCAGTCGATATGGTGGGCCAAGTCATGCAAGTACAGGAGGACAAAAGCATTAAATAACCAGGGAGCAGCCTTGCATCCCTGGCGTACGCCAGCACCAACTCGGACTGGTTCAGTCCCGCCATTGGATTCAACATGGTATGATGAATGTTCATGCCATTGCGCCAGCATCTGAATGATCCTCGGGTTGTCCAGCACTTCATCAAGCCTACCAAAGAGTTCTTGACGGCAGATGCTATCAAAAGCTTTACTGAGGTCTAAAAAGAGCTGTATGGCACCACATATCTTATACATGGGCAATTGGCGATGTCGGTTGATGACAGTCGGTCGCTGAGACAGCACAAGCTCACGGCCTGCTTTGCAATGGGCCGCAACCCTGAGCAGAGCATGTTGCGTGCATCTGCCAGGAAGATAGGCCCAAATTGGCCAAGGTGCCATGCCACCAAACGATTCTTGTTGGGCCAGCCTAGCAACCAAACCTATAACAGCCTTGCCTATAGGTTCCTGGAGCGCCAAAGGACGCAATGCATCTGGTGAACATGCTGCCTTTAAAGGTTTCGGGATGAGAATGAGCCAGGCATCTCGCCAACAAGCTGGCACTCTCGGTTCTGGGCAATCCCAAAGCTGCTGCAAGATTCGAAACAAGGGGGGTGCAAGCAAATTTGCATGTGATTTCCAAATGAGTCCTGGTGTGAATGGCCGTGCAACTGCTTTGGAAATCGGAATTTGCTCAAGGGCTTTCAGGAGCGCATCTTGGTCAAATGGCAAACCTGTGGTGGCAGGAAACAGTCGCGGGACAGTTTCCGGGCCACTCCATGTCTTGGCAACAAAGGCATGCAACATGGCACGTTCTTCAGTTGGAGTGGCCAGGTTTCCATGCACATTACGTAGCTGCAACCTACGCTTGGAGGTCTTTGGGGAGAACCTATTAATCACCCTGAACAGTTGATAGGAGTCATGTTGATTTGCCGCAGTCTGAGCCTGGTCCAGGATGGCATCAAATCGCTGTTGTCTGGCTGCATAGGCATGGCGCCTGTGCTCTTTGCGAAGAAGTTTAAAACGTGTCATGTGAAACCATGCGCGCAAAATGTTTCGTGCTGAAGGCAGCAAGAGTTTCTTCCAGCAATCTCGATGCCTCCATTTGTCCATGATGAGGGATCGGCCAGCTTCATCAGGCAATGTCTCTCTCTGCTGTACATGGCAAGGGAAATGTTGGACATATACCGCACTGGTGATTCTATGCAGCTCAGGAATCATGGTTGGATCCAGGGGATCAACCTGTGTCAAGTGTTGTTGAATCACTGCAGCGGATGCATCCATGAATGCTTGCCATGCAGGGCTTGAGGTCAAAAACGCCTGTCTGCCTTGGTCCCGCTGCTGCATGCTGATACCTGCCGTCTGAGTATCTGCTTGCGGTGGAATCCAAAATTTGCGTATTTGGCCTAATAGAGGAAAGTGTCCAATGTGAGGGCAGTCCAGAAAGGGTGCATGGGTCAACAGTTGCACATTCTTGGAACATCCATCAGCATTAGAAAAACGTGTAAACGCAAAATCAATCCGGGAGCATCCATTCGAGCCTGCAAAAGTAGGACCTGTTTGGGGGTTCCACGTATTCAGGGCAACTAGGTTGTGTGCACGAACCAATGCCAGGAACTGGCCTTCATCAGGATGAGAAGAGCCAGTACGCAACGAGGAGTCCCAGATAAAGGCATCACTGCCAACATGTCCTCTCGACTGTGGTAGTCGACAGTTGAAGTCACCTGTCAACAAAATCACATGTCTCCTAGGCAACGTGCTCAGGTATTGGTCAAGGCAGTTCCACCATGCATTCCTTTCTGTCTGTCTCTGTTTGTGAGTGGCAAAGGTGTGTTGGTATCCTGCGACAACGTCAAAGCATCTTTGGGGAAGTCGAATTTGGGCATGTATGAGCCTACCAACAGAGACTTCAGTCCATCTGACATCTTGAGGTTTACATAGTTGGCGTGAAATGAGGATCAAAATGCCAGCACCTGGTGAGGTAGAAGCTCCAGTGTGCAGTGAAATCCAATGATTATCCATCCACTCATTGGAGAATTGCCATCGCGTCTCCGTCAAGACCAGGATGTCAATGCATTGGCATCTGCACCATTGTTTCACTTCTTCCAAACGATGCGCACTCATTCCACCCCCATTCCAGGAAAGATATCTGAGATATTTGCGGCTCTGATGTCGGAGGTTGCATTGGGTGTGATTGTGAAATCCCTGAGCTCGTGTGGCAGGCAATCGCTGAGAAGACGGTGCAGGCACACCAGCAAAGTGCTGAGCAGTGTAGCACTGTCCTTTATACCAGCATGAGCCATCACGTAGAGCCCTGGTGTAGGCACGTTTGAGACTTCTCTTTTTCACCGAATCCAGTTGGGGCCAGGAGTTGCCGAAGCAGTTTGTTGGCCGAAATCCACGTTGCTTTGCACCGAGTTGGTTGATCAGTGCTGTTTCCCATGTCTCAGGCGCTTCAGTGTCCTCCGTGGAAAGGACACAACCCTCACCCCCGCTCCAGGTCTGATCCGTCATCTGAAATTGTTGAATGAGCAGAACCACACAAAAGATATGGAGGAGCTTACAAATCCTGGAGCGCCCGGAATTGGGACCGGGATAGCCAACTTCACGTGACGCCCAAAGTGAGCAGTGATTCTGAAGCCAAAATTTGAGGTCTGATATCGCTGTTTGCCAAATTGATGAAAACCAATATAGTACAAGGCAAGCCCCCACAAGTAGATGCAGAAACGATTCCCAGACTGAGAGCTGTGCTGAGGTGTCTGTTCCTCCCAATAGGGAGTGAGTTGCAGAGCAAGGAACTGTTGAAACTGACTGTAGCACCCTGTGTAGCGCAGCCAAGGCCCCACCGCAGAAAGCCAAAAATAACGGTGTATAGGATATTACAGGGCACCAATGTGGCCAATGTCGCAATTGCGCAAAATCCAACTGTGGTGTGTCACTAGCCTCACAGCAAATGACTGTGCAGAGCCCGTGTGTCCCCTGGTCAGCAGGATCAGATGTGCAAAAAATGGCACAAATGAACGCACTAAATGCACTTGCACCACAAGGTTCAGCACGGGCTGGAATGGAGTGCCACCAATATCCAAGGGTCTGCTCCTGGTGTAGCGATGTGATGGAACTGCAAAAGACCCCACGGCAGAAGGTCAGCTGTGATCCGTGTAGCAACTCAGTCCAGGAGTGATTGATCCAAAAATTATCTGTGTCAGGGGCCCCACCGCAGAAGGCAGAAAACGTCGGTGTAGCACAAGAATATTGAAAAAATCCACAATTGATGAGCCAAAATCCAAGTCTGCTAGTTGTACCGTTTGTTGTGGCCGTTGTCAGAAAACTGTTCCGCCAATCTGCAATATTCCAAATCAGAAGCAAAGTGGTTGGTGTAGTGGAACTTGCTGGAACCCCACGGCAGAAGGTCAGTTGCATTCCGTGTAGCAACTCGGTCCAAGGAGAAATTATCCAAAAGCCTGCTGTTGTTGGGGCCCCACCGCAGAAGGCAGAAAAAGTCGGTGTGTCGCAATGAATGAAAAAACAGCTGGAATCGGATGACCAAAAAATGATGTTGCCTGTTGTACCACAGTCTGTTGTCTTGTCCAATGGATGGTGCCACCAAAATCCAAAAATCCAGATCTTCTGTTGTACTGGTGTGTGTGTGTGTGTGTGTGTGTGTGCGTGTGTGTGTGTGTGTGTGTGTGTGTGGGGTGTGTGTGTGTGTGTGTGTTGTGTGTGTGGTGGTTTGTTGTGTTTGTGGTGGTGTGTGTAGTGTGTGTGTGTGGTGTGTGTGTGTGTGTGTGTGTTTTGTGTGTGTTGTGTGTGTGTTTTTTGCAACCCCAGCAACCCTCTTGGATCGGCAGGCGAGCTCTTACATGGATTGTTCCATGGCCTCCGTCTGCAGCGGATTTTGACGTCCGCCGCTGCAGACAGAGGGCTTCCAAACTAGCGCTCCGTAGAGCAACGAGGTGAAAAGGAGAAATGAAAAAGTCAAAAACTTCATCCCTAAGCATGCCACAGGTAGTTGTTTGTAGCCAGCCTAGTGCATGAAGTGACAATTCATGTTACAGTTGTGAGAAGATGCGGAAAAAGAAAAACGCAGGTTCAGTCATCCAGCCGTCAGCGCCAGCAGCCGCATCCATCAGCCGCTGCCAGCAGAGAAGAGCGCATGCAGGTCCGCAGCCAGCAGCTGCAGCCGCAACAACGTCAAAGCGCAAGCCACAGGTCACAGCGCAGCAGCAAAATGCCGTAGTGCAAAGAAGCCGCATAAATGCAGAAAAGAAGCTGGTCCGCATTCTGTGCAAAAGGTTCCCAAACCCAGTCATCCAGAAATATGCAAAAATATCATCATGCAACCAAACTGAACGACCGGAGAGAGGAAGAATGAATTCCTGTCAATTGTTGTGATCTGGTGGCCGCATAGAGCTATGTCATAGGCTCTTCCGCTGTCTGCTCCTCCTCTCCAGTCCTCGTGAGAGTGCTGAAGCTTCGGAATTGCGTTGGATCCTCATTCTGCATGGTCCTGGCTATTTCCGGTGTTGGACGGAAAAGCCAAAACATGCAACAGTTTCTGAGTACTTCCTCTGGTAACACCTGTTGTTTGTCAGGCGGTCTGCCATCTTCATAATTCATCCAGCTGTTGCGATACCTTACCATGGCCCTGTAATGTCCTGAGTGTGGTGTAGGACCAATGTGATAAATAATGGCGCAAATCACAAATCTGTCCATGATGAAATCACCAGCCATATTGATGAAGCATGGAAAACGAATGTCATACTGCTGCAAATCAATCATCTGTGTGCATTTCATGCCCGTATCTGGATTGAACCTATCCAATGTCAGGATGATTTGGTGGCCCACCTCCTCAGCTGCTCTGCAAAAACCTTGGGGATCATGCCACAAGTCTACAAGTGACTGCAATTGACATGTATCTGCCATGTGGTCAATGTACGACAGTGACACTGGAGTGAATCGCTGTCCTTTTTCCAGCTGTAATGCATCGTCACCCAAAGCTAGCAATGCTGGACGTGTCACCCAACCACAGTGGAGAAATTGAGGTTGCATCACATGAAGAAGATACTGGGTAAATTCACAAACGTCTTGCTGACTCCTGAATGACTCCACTGTCTAAGTACCCAAAAGCAGCCATTTAAAGGGGTCCATCTTTGTGAGGTCCACTGGCATGTAATGCGCACTGAAAATTGTGCGTAGCATCGCAAACCCATGTCTCCATTCAGAAGGCTCAAATCCCTTTGAAAGTAGGGTCATCCAACAAAGGCATATTACCACCGTATTGGCAAAGCAGGCTGTCCCAGTGCTATTCAAGAAAATAGGGATCAGGATCACATCATCTTCTGGATCTGTTTGGCCAGTGGAGTGCGATCGAGACCTTGAGGACGAAGACGCACTTGGATGAGCTGCCAAGAACTGTGATAGGCCAATTTGGCAACCTCGTGCCAGAGTTCCGGGTCGTGGCGTTGTGCCACTGTCCAAATCCACGGCACTGCCTGCTGATTCTCTTTGGTGTCTTGAACCTTCTTCAGACTGTGAAATCGAAGGGTCACCCTGTGGTCCGCCAGCAATCGTAGGATGTTCTGCAGACTCCGGTGCACCTCGTTGATGGGCAAGCATGCCTGCTCCGTTGGTTCCAGGCATTTGCGCTGGTGACTCCAGCGAAGGAAAGGCATGGACCGGTTGGTGTCGTCCTTCACCAGATGATAGGACTTGCAGTCCTGGAACAGTTCTGCTGTCGGCGTCGCCTCCATCAGCGTCTTCAAGCGACGCTCCAGTTCCTGGACCATGGTTTGGACTAGCAGGTGCCTCAGAGGAATGGGCTTCGTTTCCTGCTGATGCCAAGTGCGGCTGGCATCCATCAGTAGTGGGAGGACACTCCCAGGGCCCGTCGCCAGGTGGACAATGAACTGACTCTTCTGAAGGAGGCTGTTGATCGTATCCTCGTGTCGCAGCACCAACCGACACAAGGTTCCCAGCACTTCTGTCGGCACCGTGGTCGTGGACTCCGAAGCTGAGCGATCTTTGCGATCTGTCTTGCGGTCTGTCCTGGGCCGCTTGCCTTCTCGACCTTTGTCGCGATGGACTGGTGGAGTGATGCCCAAATTGTTCATTTGCTCCTTCGTCAGAAGGTTGCCCCAAATCCTCATGGCCGAGTCTATGCCTTCCGATGCCTCTGATGCCGTATCCATTGATGAGGAACACAGCCAAGTTCAGGAGGACTGGGCACTGCTGCTGATGTTGCTTGAGACCGCAGAATTGGCAGGGATCAGTGCATCGTAGTGCTAATCTGTAATAGCACATGTGTGTTTGCAACTGAAGAAAGTTATGCTGTTGGTGCAAGTGAGTGCACATCTTGTTGGGTGAGAAAAATGTTTTCGAGCACAACAAACATTGGTAATGAACACTTTCTCCAATCAGGGAATCATCCATGAGTTGAAGTCCACTTTGAGCAACTGGTTCAAGTGATTGTCCATATGTGTCTGAGGTGCTCACATTGAATTGCCAAAGCTTCAGCTCGTGCTTGCGGCGATTCTCACAAATTCTCTCCTGCGTGGCCCAGGTCAGTGGTTGCAGTGCTGGAACAGACCATCGGGGATGCATCAACAGCATGGCCAGTTGTGTGATCATCGGGCACTTCTGCAGGTGAGCATGGACGTCAACTTGCATCACATCATCTGCGTCCAAATAAGTGTGCAACAGCTCATGGCACCAGTCGCATCTCTCCTCAGCCATGGAGATTTGATCGAACACTGCACTGAGTTGATGTGTCACATACTTCAACCTGTCATTGGTGATCTGATGCGCCACAACCAGATGAGCCTGTATGTGGGACATCGCCACCGGTTCCTGGTAGACAAGGCAGTGAGTGGCTAGCATTGTCAATAGCTCAGTGTCTTCCCACAGTTGATGGAAATTCCTGGTCATCAAGGCCATTGTGATTCTCTGAAGGGCCGAGCAGGGAAGCAGGTTGCCAAGCAGGCCGATCAAATCCTGAGAAGTAAAAGGCCATGGTAGCACCACCTGCCAGCCGTAGGAAGCAGCGATCAATGCCAGCTGAGTCAAACCCACACATTCATGATGTAGCTCTCCCCATCCCGGTGACGGGTTGCAGAAGCAGCCCATTTCCATGAACATGCACCAGTTGAACATCTCGATGAGATATTGGCTCTCTTGAAGGTGTACTGGATGTATCGCATGCATGTGAAGACGCAGGTCCTCTGCATTCAGCCCAGTGTAGCCGCAAACCTGGCAGTGTCGTGTCAGATTGAGGCGCAGTTGGCTCTTGCTGTATAAGTTCTGTGCAAAGCCCAGCCAGAGCAGGGGTTCGATCTGTTCCACCACACTGAGAATCACGTCTGGAGGTTCAGCCACCAGCAATGGCATCATCTGTCGCTCATGGTCCAACCTGAGCAAAATGAACTGAAGGTACATCTGACAAATATGCTTGGTGTGCATAGTCGGTTTGCAAACACAACCATAAATCGGCTTCCACTGAATGTCCAATTGCATGGCGCGAAGTTCGCACTCGTGCCACTCACTTGCATGGTTTTGTTTGATATGCCGACTCAATGCACGTCGACCTGCATAGGTCTTTTGACATTTCAGGCACCTCGTGGAGAGGAAGTGCTGAATGTCTTCCTGCAGCAGCAAGTCTTCACAGGCGTTGAGCGTCACCGCCTGGTAGATTTGGCACTGCATGTCAATATCAAGTGCTGTGGCTTCTTCAACCGCCTGTTCAGCACGGTGGTATCTTCGAGCATGCTGCAAGAGGCCATGTCGTGTCGTGTAGACCTTGCCACAGTGCTGGCAGACCAAAGCCGATCGCACAGGAGTGATTTGGTCACCTGCTTGAGTAAGCAATAGTGCCATCTGTCGAACAATGTGACATTTGTGATATTGCTTGAATGTAGCCCCACACAAGGCACAGGGACTGTCGTGTTCAAACAAGGGCAGCAATCTTTCATTGATCGGTTCATGTCGTTGAAATTCGGCTGAATGTTCTCGTTGCCAATGCATGTACAGCCCTCTTGTCGTGACACTGAAGAAAGAACATAGCGCACATCTGTGATGAAAATATGCCAAGAGAGGTGCATTTTCTGTCAACGCCTGGAGCTGCTGTCCTCTGGCGTACTGCAACAACTCTTGCACTCGAACGCGATGTTCGACTTCTTCAATGTCCTGCCGATCGGCCATACATACATATTGAACATGATATGCCAAACTGTGGAATGTGGAAAATTTCATATGACATCTGATGCAGGTTGGAACTCCCTGTGCACATTCCTGGGGTGTAAATTGTCGCAGGGCACCTGGTCTTGTGCCATGGGCTTCCGTCTGATGTTTCCTCAAAAGCTTCCAGGAATCTAGAAGAATAAAACAGATTGGACACACAAGCTGGGCATCAGGCTGAACAGGGATCCGGTCTGAATGACGCTGCCGCTGAAGAAACCAGCTCTCCGTCAAGACCTGCATTTGGTGCTCATAGTCAATGGCTTCAGTACGCAAGAGAATATCATCGATGCGTAATTGTGAGATTCGTTGAGAATCCCGCTCCGAAGCTTTTTGGCAAAATGCCACCAGCTGCAACAACGGCTCTACCAAGTGGTGTCTGTGCAGAAATTCTTGATTGGACATAAGTGTAAGATGAGTAGGTTCACGAAACAGTCTTCTGAGCTGCTTCAGGCAGGCAATGTCAATGAGTTTTGCTGATTGGTGCGTCATGCCCACTGCTATCAAGCTGTATCTCATCGTGGCGAATACACATTGGTTCCATAGTCGATATTTCTGCATATTAGTGAGACTTTTCTTGGAATAGAGCCATCTGTGAAGTTGTTGACCAGTCTTGTCACTGGCCTTGATCCTTGTCATTGCCGTGGCACGTTCAAAATTGTAATAATTGACAGTGGCACCCAGGTATGAGAAATTTGTGACCAATTTTATCAAAGTGATGGTTCTGGATTTCCGAGGAATTTTGAGAAAAAACCCATTGGATGTGCGCTGTGTGTGATGTTTCTGTATTTTGTTCATGTCTGATCCAACCAACCGCATCAGGGCAAAGGTCTTTTCCAAGTTGATAGAAAGTTTGGCATCTTCCAGGATGTCCAAGGTCTGCCCAATTCTATGAAGCGTCAGCTTGAACTGTGCTGAAGAGGTCACAACCTCATGCAGGCAGCCGTCATCAGCATACCATGTGTTGCATTGGTACAACCAGTGATCATCTGTTTGTTTACAAAGTTCAAATAGGATGTCTGTGAGATAAGCGGCCCATAAGATTGGGGCTGCTTTACAGCCTTGCCGTATGCCTTTTGAAGTTCCAAATGACCTGGTGAGACCACGATGCTGAAAACTGTAACTGGTTTCATGATACACCGCCTGCAGGAAGTCAATGAGCACTGTTGGAACTCCAAGCCTTTGAAGACATCGATATAGTCGAGGACGTGGCACTGTGTCAAAAGCTTTGGAGAGGTCAAGTGTGACCAACAATCCACCTGCCAGAGGTCCCAATGAGTCGCCCCGTGCTCTTTGGTGTACATGATACCGATGTTCAAGGCATTTGGATCTAACTTGACCACAATGTTTGAATAATCTTGTCAGTGCCTCCATGCAACCCCTCAATGGGAGGTATGCGTACTGTGGTACTGAACAAAGAAGAGCTCCTACGGAGTCAAACAATTGTCTGGCCAAACAACCCATGAGCACCTTATTGCATGGTTCTAGCAACGTAATGGGACGTAACTCCTGCGGCAGGTGACAACGTCGGGTGTGCTTTGGAAGTAGGCAGATGGTGCCCCTGTTCCACATTCCTGGCAGGCAATTTCGTTCACTGCAATCACCAAAATATGGATGAAGAAAGGAGGAAATCTGCCTGGCTGCACATTGCCAAAATGGCGCTGGCGCATATTCTGGGGATAAGGCCTTGAGCAAGGGCAGTTGTGCAAGACCCTGATGAAATTCTTGTTCAGTGAAGGGCCATGGAAATGACTTACTGATCCCCTCCTCATCGGCATCATGGTACAGTTCAGCAAACCAGTCACAGATCCGGTCGGCAGCTGCTTCAGGATGCAGTAACCTGCCATCGGAATCACGGATTTGTATTCTGCGATATGGTTGTTTGGGAGCAAGTTCACGGATTGCCTGGTACAGTCGAAAATGATCACGAGCTTCATCAGCACGACCTGCGGAGTCAAAGATCTTCTGAAGTCTTAGTCTGCGGGCTTGTGCTGAGGTTCTACGCATCTGTTGTCTTGCTCGTTGTCGTTGTGTGACATGAAACCAGGCCTTGATCAAGTTCTCCAAACTGGGTTGTCGAAGGTCTCGAAGATGCTTGCTGTGTACCGGAAAGCGTTGGAAGGGTGTGATGTCATACTTGCACACTGCCTCTTGCTGTGATTGTCTCCTTGGGGCTGAAAAATTGTTCATGGCATTGTGCAACATTTCCAATCGATTACCTGTTGTGGGAAGAAGTTCAACAGTGTCTCTGACCGTGCATTTCTGTTGTACAGCGGTGTCTGTGTTGCTAGTCCACCGTTGATAAAGTTCAAGCCTTTGTGCTCTTGACCATCCGTGGCATTGTTCTCGTTGATGAGGATGCCAGACCTTGAGCAAAGTCGCAAGCTGAGGTACGTGATGCGCTCCCGAAGGACAATTCAGAGGAAAATCACTGATATATTGAACTTGTTTGGATGTAGCATCACTGTGACACCTGCGACAAATGACATAATCGATCCTTGAGGATTGATGTCCAAAGAGATATGTTGGTCCAAGAGTTGCATCCCAAGTGTTTAGCACTACCAAGTCAAAATGGTTGAGAATGTTGTGCAGAATATGTTCGTCTGTATGTTTGGGGCCCGCACATCGATCACCGTTGAGGTGGTACGTATCCAGTCCAACTGCAGTGGATTGTCTTCTCAAAGAGGTGTTCCAGTCCCCCAGCAACGTGAGATGATTGCGTTTGGAGCATGAAGTGATCACTGTCTGAAGTGCATTCCAAATGTGGGCTCTGTCTTCAATGCGATCATATGCGTGGATATGTTGATAAATGTTGACAAAATCCAGTTCCCGATCTGTGCCATGAATGCGAAAGTGCATCAACCTTCCAGGAACCACCTCCTGCCATGATAAATCATGCAAGGCGCATATGTTCTTGGAGATCAGGCTTAAGAGCCCTGCTTTGGAATCACCCCCACCACTGTGAAGAGCGTAGTAATGAGCTGTCACCCATTCGCTCGTATGCTTCCAATGGGTTTCCTGGAGCGTAATGATGTCCAGGTGTTGGCATTCAATCCACTGTTGCAGAAAATCCCACCCAGAGGGTGAGAGACCACTGCAATTCCAGTTAAAACAGGTGAATCTCTGACGTTTCATTTTGGAGCTTGGTATGCTATTACAAATCTTGGGTGCAGTCTCGATGGATCCCTTATAAATAGTCCCAAGTCTTTCAGCAGTGTACAGTTGGCCACGATAGTGAGTGTACCCATGCAATTCTGCTCGTTTGATGGCACGTTTAAAACTGCGTTTTCTAATACATCGATTCGTGCTGGTTTGGGAATGCTCGCAAGCAAATTGGAGCTCCTCTACATGTGCTTTTGCCGATAGACCCCATTGGAATCCATCAGCTCCCACGCTGCCCATGTCAACAGCGCAACCCTCGCTCCACTGCACGCTTTGGAGGATTGTCAGGATATATCCAATGACAAAGCAATGTACCCAACAACCACGTATGGTGCGCGTAGCTCGGAATTGGGACCGAGTTGTGGTCCGAGTATCACTGTCTTTCCAGCCCAAGAGGAATGGTTCGCTAAGATCCCAAAACTTGTCAAACGAAGTGTAAACCAAAATTGTTCCCAAGGTCAGCAACCCTGCGTTTAAGGGCACTTTGTCCAGCAGAAACCAGGTATTGAATGTGCCAGCTAACCAAGAAGAAAGAAGGCTGAGGAGGTAAAACCACAGGTACAAACCAAAGAAAAATTTGGCAAGTACCCACCCCATATACTTCGTTCAGGTGCAGGATCCGGGAGCCACCCCTTAGTTGATCACAGGCCAGAATGTCGTGAAGTCCAGGTCCAACTGATAGGTCAAGTTCAGGAAATAGGGCAGCCGCAGGAACTTGCACAGCGCCGCAGCGTCAGCAGCGTCAGCCGCCAGCAACGAAAGTGAAGTGCAAGAAGACCACTCCGTGCAGGCGAACAAGCACCAACCGTTCGGGGGGCCACGGCTGCGGCTGTCAACTAGGTGTCAGTAAAGACCCTTGGGTGTGGTACTCGAGACCACAAAGGAGCTTGTGTGTGTGTCTGTGTCTGTGTCTGTGTCTGTGTCTGTGTCTCTGTGTCTCTGTGTCTCTGTGTGTCTGTGTCTCTGTGTCTCTGTGTGTCTGTGTCTCTGTGTGTCTGTGTGTCTGTGTGTCTGTGTGTCTGTGTGTCTGTGTGTCTGTGTGTCTGTGTCTGTGTGTCTGTGTCTGTGTCTGTGTGTCTGTGTGTCTGTGTGTCTGTGTCTGTGTGTCTGTGTGTCTGTGTGTCTGTGTGTGTGTCTGTGTGTGTGTCTGTGTGTGTGTGTCTGTGTGTGTGTGTCTGTGTGTGTGTGTGTCTGTGTGTGTGTGTCTCTGTGTGTGTGTGTCTCTGTGTGTGTCTCTGTGTGTGTTCTGTGTGTGTCTCTGTGTGTGTCTCTGTGTGTGTCTCTGTGTGTGTCTCTGTGTGTGTCTCTGTGTGTGTCTCTGTGTGTGTCTCTGTGTGTGTCTCTGTGTGTGTCTCTGTGTCTCTGTGTCTCTGTGTCTCTGTGTCTCTGTGTCTCTGTGTCTCTGTGTCTCTGTGTCTCTGTGTCTCTGTGTCTCTGTGTCTGTGTGTCTCTGTGTCTGTGTGTCTCTGTGTCTGTGTGTCTGTGTGTCTGTGTGTCTGTGTGTCTGTGTGTCTGTGTGTCTGTGTCTCTGTGTCTCTGTGTCTCTGTGTCTCTGTGTCTCTGTGTCTCTGTGTCTCTGTGTCTCTGTGTCTCTGTGTCTCTGTGTCTCTGTGTCTCTGTGTCTCTGTGTCTCTGTGTCTCTGTGTCTGTGTGTCTGGGTGTCTGTGTGTCTGGAGTGTCTGTGTGTATGTGTGTCTGTGTGTATGTGTGTGTGTGTCTGTGTGTGTGTGTCTGTGTGTGTGTGTGTCTGTGTGTGTGTGTCTGTGTGTGTGTTGTGTGTGTGTGTCAAGTGTGTGTGTGTGTGTGTGTGTGTCTGTGTGTGTGTCTGTGTGTGTGTGTCTGTGTGTGTGTGTCTGTGTGTGTCTGTGTGTGTGTCTGTGTGTGTGTGTCTGTGTGTGTGTGTGTCTTTTTTTTCCTACACACCTGTTTTGCATCTGCAGGTACGTGCCAGCCTTCATCGAAGCTTGTTGTCGACGGTTCCGGTTAGTCGGAATCTTTAAGGCCAGGTGAACAGCAAAAGGAAAATCAAATCAAATGTTGGAGAAATGTGAAAAAGATCCAGGTCCACCCTCAGTCATTGTCATCCATGTTGGCTCCATGCTGAGCCGCCAGAAGATGCAGCAGCTCGTGTTGGAGAGCAACTTCATGGTGTGAAGTGGGTTCTGCGGCATCAGGTTCCTGTCTGGGTCCCGTCATTCTGGTCAGCTGCATGGATTCTTCAGGCGTGAATGAATGGTAAGCCGGAAGGCTCAGCATATCAGTGCGCACCAGCCAAATCAGTGCCGCGTTGCACTTGAACCAAGCTGGTACATCCCACGTCGGTGTGGGTCTTTCATCATCTTCGGTTGTCAGCCATGCCGCTGGTCTGGTGGCTGTCACCAAAGACGGTTGAATTTTCATGATGGATCTGCAGTGTCCCGCCCTATCCATACCCAAGTGCGCCACTCCAGCAATAGGAATGTATCCAACATGTTCCGTCTGCAAATCATGTTGTGTGAAAACCGGCATGGCAACTTCAGTTTCCAGTTCAATGGCGCAGTTGGTTTTGAAAATGTTCCCAACCTCATCCTGGTAGTGCCGATCCAGTTGAAGGCAAATACAAGGTGATGCCGTCTTCAGCGCGGCTTGCATGGAATTCTCCTGGGACCAGGAAGAGATCAGCCCTGAAAATGTGCAACTGCCATGTGTGTGCATGTCTCTGGTGAAGGTCAAAATGATTGGAGTGCAGGCGCTATTGACATCCATGGTAATGAAGCCATCACATGTGTCGAGGCGTCTTTCCCATCCCATGTCAAACGCATCTGCAGCAAGCCAGGTCAGAATTTTCTGCGCACATTCAGCGCAGTCTTTCTGTTCCTGTGTTGGTCCCCAATTGCGCAAGATGGGAGCTAGCCAGGGAATATCTGCCAGCACTGCGATTTTGCAAGAGTGCTGGATCAAAAACGCAACTAGCTCAGGTCCATGCGCCCCCCAAAGGTCAAAAGCTGGTCTGTCCAGACAAAGCAAGGTCCATAAAAGACCATACATCACACTATTGATGTAGCACCAATTGCGGTCATTTTGCATGATCAACCCACTCACAGTCTTCTGCATGGCGGCAGCCAGCTCTGACGTGTAGGCTACTCTCATGTCTCCTTCTTGGGAGAAAGCTTGGCCTGGTGTTTGCCTTTGCCCTTGCCCTTGCCCTTCGGTTTGTGCAGCATGGCTTGCAAATTGGTGGCCATCGTGGATTGTCCCAGTGAGTGGGGTTTGAGTGTTGCTCCCACTGCCATCCACACCGCATTGTGACATAACTGAAGCAATAGCTCGTAGGCTCTGTTGTTCCGGAGATTGATTTGCAGTCGCCAAGGGACTGCTGCAAGGTCCTTGTCTGACACCGCCTTCAAGGCATGAAATCGGACCACTAGGTCCCGGTCCAGAACCATCTCCTGTAGCTCCGTCAGGTGCTGGAACATCTTCTGAGAGCTGACTGGTTGCTTCTTGTCTATCAACAGTTTCTGGGTGTGCGCATCCCAACGGTGAAATGGAAAACTCTTGTCTGCCAAGATCAGCCCTTTCTGCACTGACGTTTGGTGCAGGGGGTCCTGCTCTTTGCTCTCCACAATCTTGCCCGCATTGGTGTGAAGGGTCTGCAGCAAGGTCAGGATGAGATGTTGTCGCAGGGGTCTCATCTGGGACTTCGATGGGTTCTCCATTTGTTGTTTCCATTGGGCCGTCTCCTGAACCAGTTGATGCAATGCGCCCTGTGGATCTGGGTTCAAAAAAGAATGAATTGATCTGTTCTGCGTAGACTGTTCCATTCTTGATCTTGTTTGACCACCATTTGAGCCATCAGCTGCATCATCTGCATCATGCGCTTGATCTCCTGTTGTTGTGTGGCCTGTTGACCCTCTGCCTCTGGGTCGATGTCGCCTCTTCGAGGGGCCTTGGAGCGTCTCGGATTGGGCGTCAGGTTGAGACTCTTGTCCAGCATGGGCATGATGGCTCCAAAAGCCTCCCGCATCTGATTGGTGATGCAAATGTCCCCCATCTCCATGTCGCAGTTGGCGTCCATGCAGCAAGGCACCAAACAGCAAGGACAATTGAAGCAACGTCGGGCAGGATCCCTTCAGATGGGATAGAGCCAGAACGATCCGATCATGTGCTGGTTGATCTGTGCCCAAGTGAACAGGAAGATTGAAAATCAGGCCGCAAAGCTGACATTGATAATCATCAGGATTCAAAGCATGAACTGTGGGCAAGAGCTGTTCCATGTAAAACAAGCATGTGTTGTGGCCACAGGCATGCTCCTCTCGAAGGTGTAGTGCCAGGTCTGAGGTGTGAGTCTGGTGCCCGCAGTACAGGCAGTACGTTCTGAGAAATTGCAGCAGCTCTGGGTCCTGCCATGTATCAGCAAACTGTCGATGCACCAATGCTTGTTCAAGGCGATATTTTGGGGCTCTGGGCAGCTTGGCTGAAAGAATGGCCTGCAGCATCATGTCCGTGATCAGCATTGGAGCAAAAGGCTCGCGGTGGGCCCTGTGGTAGCTCATCGCCAGCTGCCTAAAAGGCAAACAAACGTGATGCCCCCTTTTGATCCCCAGCTGAGGGTTGCAAAAGCATTGTGAAGAGAAAACATCAGTCAGCACCATGGTCAGTCTCTTGGATTCTCTCCACAGCCTGGCATGAGAGGACTGGAGATGCAGGGCTAGGTCTGCAGCCCTCTTGCATCCTTTGTTGCATGCCTGGCAGACCACCGTCAAGCGCATGCGTGTGGCTGCTGATTGCAACACTTGGGTCATCTTTCCATCAAAGCAGGCCTCGATCCATTGGTCTTCCACCTGTTTGGTTTCTGCTGATGCTTGGGGATTAAAAAACTGACATCGGCCTTGCACTATGTGCGATTTCAGTCCAGCCATCGTCAAAAACAGTTGGCCGCAATGCGCACAAGCTGAGCTGTTGTCAATAGAGTCCCTGCTACCATTGAAACTCAGGCCTTGAAGTCCATGTGCAGTCTGAAGGTGTTGAACCAAATCAGCAGGAGAAGGAAAACAGAGAAGACAAAGTTCACACCGTTGTCTGGCCTCAGTGGTCGCAGTCTCCTCTGTGGGTTCCAAGCCAGCTCCATTCACCAATAATACTGCAATCTGTGACCATGTTGGGCAAGAATGTGTGGTGAACAGCGCACCGCAACAGGGGCATGGACTGTCTGTGCAAAACAGGTTCGTCAGCTGAATTGCCTTTGGTGGAACGTGTTCCCATAGCACAGGATGTTGAAGCCTGTAATGCTGGTGAAGTTCTTGGCACCGAGAGAACTGATGAGAACAAATCACACAGCGTGTAGCCAGGTATCTGCAAACATCTTGGGCCTGTTCAACTTTGGTCCAATCACGTTCTTGCACTATTTGAAGCAGTCTGTCTCCAAAAGGCAGGCTTTTCAGGTGATGCAGCTCTTCCTCCGTGATGAGGCGCAGGCCTCTGGCTGCAGCATCAGATGGATGTTGGTGCATCTTTGGGGCAATGGTGCCAAGTGCAGCGCCTCTGCGTCCAGGGATCACCGTGTGGGATCTGGGACCTGCAAGGAGCTCCTGGCAACCGCGCTCAATATGTGTGTAAAACATGCGCCATGTGGAGAAGGTCGTCATGCAAAACTTACATGTTGGCAGGCCATCTAATGCAAACTCATCTGGTTGGACATATTGGGTTCTGTTCATTGGCAGAGAGTGCATTTGTGTGTAGTGCCTTCTGTAAGCGCTCACATCAGTCGTGCAGAAATCGCAGTGGGCACATTGAAAAAAAGGTACATTCCACGCCTCAGGCAAAGTTTGTGAGGGTGTCTCCAAAAAAGTTGTTTCCTGCAGTTGTGTCAGAAGCCGCACAAGTTCAGGAAGATGTGTCCACTGGATTGTGTGTGCAAGATCATGTGTCAACAAATGCATCTTCCGGTTGTGCAAGGTCCTCAGCAAAGCAAGTGCTGTGCCATGCAAAAGTTGCGCCGGTGTGGGGATCTGCACTCTTGAAAAAGCTGTTGAGTTTGATCTGCGTGTCACATAGGCATGGTCATGTAAAACTCGTCTCATCATGACTGTCATCTGCGTGATGGCCTGTTTCAACCCATGTTGTGTCATTCCTGTTGCAAAAAGGCCGTAACTGAAGATTGGGTAAATGCAGGTTTGCCACAGCTGAAAACGTTGCTGTAGATTCAGGCTGTGTTTCCCCGTGAGCCACCGTTGCAGTCTGCGGAAACCAACATGCATCAGCTTGAGTCGATGTTTGAGGCTGCAATCTTCGAAACTGCCATAAGAAATGATCACGCCCAAATACTTGGTGCTTTTGCAAATGGGTATGTGGATGGCAGCGCCGCCAGGAATGATGATTTTCAAGCTGTCGCCGTTGTGGTCACGTCGCACAAAGCGTGCCCTTGCAGCCTTGCTCTCTGAGCCACGCAGTTCAATCAGCGCCACAGATTTGCCAGGGTTGATGGACATATCCAGTGATTGCATGGTCAAGAAAAGAATGCCAATAAAATGGTGAAAAAGGCAAAATTCTTCCATGCAAGTAAATGATGTTCCAACATGAAAATCGTCAGCGTAGATTGTAAGGCAGTTTTGAATCCAGCTTAAGGGGATGTGCATGTTGAGGTCATGTAAGAGGAGTACCATAAAGCTGTTCCACAATCCTGGCGCCGCCTTACATCCCTGGCGCACTCCACGGCCAATAGGGATTTGGGTGGTGTCCAGGTCATGCTGCACAAAATAGTCTGTTGCTTCATGCCAGTAGGCCAGCAGTTGAATGATCTCCTCTCTGATGTGTAGCTCATGTAGGCGTGTGAAAAGTTTGACTCTGTTGACTCCATCAAAAGCTCTTTGGAGGTCGATACAGAGCTGGACCCCACCATACAGGCCTACTTTGGGTGCACGTGTCGCTCTGGCATGGGGCGTCGAGCGGCACAGCTGAATTAATTGTCGGACATCGGCACAATGCTGACTGACCCTCCTAATGGCTTCAAACGTAGAACGATGTTCCATGTAAGACCAAATGGGAAACTGAACCATATGAAACCTGGCATCCTGCATGGCCTGGTGAATGAGTAAACCTATCACGGCCTTGCCTACCGGTTCTTGAAGCGCCAAGGGGCGAAGATGCAAGGGGGTCACAGGAGGTTTCAATGGTTTAGGGATTAGAAAAAGCCAGCCATGGCGCCATGCGGCTGGTATGATTGGGGGTGTCTGGCCCCACCAATCCTGCAAAAGGTCAAACAGCATTGGTGCAAGAGAAGATGCTAATTGTCTCCAAACCATGCCAGGGGCAAAAGGTTTGGCCGTAGCTTTGGTCACTGGGATCAAAGACAGCGCCTTCTCCAACTGTTGCAATGAGAACGGGACCCCTGGAGGTCTGGCAAACTGCAAACCTAGGTTTCTGGGTCCACTCCATGTGTCAGTCACAAACTGGTTGATGATGGCCGCACTTTCTATTGGAGTGGCCAGATGGCCTTGTGAGGTTCGAATCTGGATCTGCTTCCGTGGTTGTTTAGGTGCAAACCTATTGATCACATGAAAAAGTTTGTGGGTATCATGTTGGGCAGCGGCTTGTGCTGCAGTCATAACCACTTCTTCAAATTGTTGGTTTCTGAGCTCTTTGGATTGTCTGCGATGAAAACGTTTCAAAAAGGAAAACCTAGCAGCATGAAACCAACCCTGAAAAACACTGTGCAACGTGGCAACCCTAGGTTTCCTCATGAGTCTTCTGTGATCCCATTTGTTCAAAATGGTGCCAAGCGCTGTCTGCCAGGGGGATGCAGGCCTAGTTTGTCTTCCCTTGGGGAAGAAATGGCAAAAGGAACTGAGCATCTCACGGTGCAAACTTTGAAGTGCAGCATCTGCATCTGGTACAGGAGCCCTCAGGTGGTCCAGCAGCAACTGCTGGGAGACGGTTGTGAACTCCCTCCAGGTGTCTGATTGCGACAGAAAAGCTTGTCGACTCATCTGACGTTGTTGCAGTGTCACATTGTGGATCTTGTCAGAACGGTTGTCCGGGATCCAATACTTGGCAATTGTTGTCAGTAGAGGGACATGTCCAACCTCTGTTTGGTTGAGGAAGGGTGAATGCCACAAATGTTGCACATTCTTGGCCTCCCCGTCTGCGTAAGATTGTCGTACGCAGATGTGATCAATTCTGCTCGCTTGATCACAATGGACGTAGGTGGGTCCAGCTGATGCCGTCCAGGAATTCAGCACTGTCAGTGCATTGTCTCTGAGGATCTGCAGAAATTTGGGGTGGTCCCCATGGTACGTGCCTGTGACATTGTTACCCCGCCATGCAAACTTGGAGGTGCCAACACACCCAGGGGATGCTGGGACAGAGCAATTAAAATCTCCTGCCAGAATAAGACAGTGTCGATTGGGTAAACCTGACAACACTTGGGCAAGCAAGGTCCACCATTGATCGCGTGCTTGTTGGTTGCGTCTCGTGGCTTGGAATGTGTGCTGGTAGCACGCCACCAAGTCAATGGCTCGAGGCTGCAGTTGCATGCGTAGGTGGATAAGCCGTCCACTGTCATGAATTTGCCATCTGAGTTGGTTCATCTGACACATTCTTTTGGAGATTAAAATAAGAATACCCTTTCCTCGATTGCCTCCTTCTCCAGAGTGAATATGATGCCAATGTTTGTCAGTCCAATGAGAATCAAAGGAAAGCCGCGTCTCAACTATGATACCAATGTCAACACAGTTCATCACCAGCCAAGCTTTGACCTCGTCCATGGTGTGGGAGGCTAATCCTCCACTGTTCCATTGCCAAAACTTGATCCTGCCTTTGCTGCCATGCTTGGAGTTGCACTTCTGCCAGTCCGATTGCAATCCAGGTGTCAGAGGCTGAGCGTGAGTGGGTGATCGAAGGCGACAACCCATGCGCTCAAGTGTGTCAGAAGTGTAATGTTTGCCCCTGTACCATGCTGATCCCACAGTCAGTGATCGTTTATAGGCCCGCAATAGGCTCCTCTTCTCCACTTTGGAATTTCCATGTGCTGTATCTGGCCCTCCTAGTGTGCGGTTGCACATTGGAGGCTGCATGCCATGTCGCTTCGTCCATTTTGTAGTGCTCTCTGGAAAAGTGCAATGGACTTCCGTGCCCCCCATGGCTGGGACACTACCCTCGCCCCAACAGTTCAGCTGAAGAAAGAAGGCCAGTAGGGTCAGAGATCCTAGTCTCCTGACCAGCTTGTCTGAACTGCGTCTGGAATTGGGACCAGACCTGCAACTGCGCTGGGTCCAATTGGCGCCAAGAATCTGGAATGCGTGGTGGTGCAGCAGAAAAATCAAAAATAAACCGATTGTCTGTCCAATTTGAGTCAACCACTTAAGGGCGCCGTTGGCCAGCAGAAGTGTGAAGACTCGCCACAAATAGTGCCAGTGCGCAAAAATGAAATGTGAAATTGAGAACCAAATAAACTGAAGCAAATTCCTGAGGCCAGTCAGTGTAAGGGAGCCCACCCCTTGGAAGTGCGGCAAAAATGCCAAATGCAGTGTATGCTGTGTGAAGATCCAAGTCCCCCAGGTCTGTGAAAATTCAATAGGCCAGTCAGTGCAAGGGAGCCTACCCCTGAGAAATATCGTGTTTGGGACAGTCAGTTGGGGAGCCCACCCCGCTTGATTAAGCCGTAGTCCACTGCTTGGAATCAAAAATTTCTGCCAATCCGTGTGAAACTCAACGTAAATTGCCAAAAAAATCCAGGGCCAGTGAGTCAGCGCACAAGGGAGCCCACCCCGTAAAATTATGCCAACACCAAGAAGTTGCAAACCCTTGGTGCACAATGTTCTCCAGAACTCAAATCTGATCTCAATGTGGTCACCAATAGCCTGAGGTCGTTGAAAGGCAGTTTGCAGGCACTGCTGTTCAGACAGGGTACCAGGAAAGTTGCAAGGGATCTCTCTCCAGCGCACGTCAGCCGCACCGTCAATGTGGTTTCGAGTCCCTAGCACCGTCCAAAATTTGTGGTAAAATTCCAGGCCAGTCAGATCAAGGGAGCCAACCCCTCTGTTGCACTGCAAATGCCAAATAAGAAGATCAGGCCCGGGAGAAAAAGGGAGCCCACCCCGAGATGAAAATAAATTGCAAAATGTGCGGATGTATTGATCAATCTGTAAAACTGAAGGGTCCTGGTGCAGTCGAAGCAGCAAGCCTCGTGTGTCACCTGTTGTTGCAAGAGGAACCGTCTGGCCAGAAACAAAGCGCTGGGAGCCAACCCCACAGGATGCAGTTCCAAATGCAACTAAAGTGGCAACAAATATGGCCAGTCGGCCCCACCACGCAGGCCTCCCACGGGCAGCGTCAAATCCCTTCGTGTTGAGAAATCGCAAGTGCCCCAGTAGGCACCACTTCAGTCCAGGCTTGCAAATCAATCAGTAAAAACTGGAGCCACAAAAAGAAATCTCGCAAATCGAAAACGCGCACGGCAACGAAAACAAGGCAAAAAATGGCAAATCGGACAAGACGAAACGGTCCTACAGGCACCACACTACGAATCCCTCTGTGCTGTTGAAGGATCTTGAGCGCCACTCTCGAGGTGGCAGAGGGGCTTGTGTGTGTGTGTGTGTGTGGGTGGGGGGGGGGGGGGGGCGGGGGGCGGGACGGGGGGGGGTGTGGGGTGGGTGTGTGGGTGGGGGGGTGTGGTGGGGTGTGGGTGTGGGTGTGGGTGTTGGGTGTGGGTGTGGGGGTGGGTTGTGGGTGTGTGGTGGGTGTGGGTGGGTGGGTGGGTGGGTGGGTGGGTGGGTGTGGAGTGCGGTGAGTTGTGCGTGTGTGTGCGGTGTGTGTGTGGGTGTCAAGTGTGTGTGTGTGTGTCAAGTGTGTGTGTGTGTGTCAAGTGTGTGTGTGTGTGTCAAGTGTGTCAAGTGTGTCAAGTGTGTCAAGTGTGTCAAGTGTGTCAAGTGTGTCAAGTGTGTCAAGTGTGTCAAGTGTGTCAAGTGTGTCAAGTGTGTGTCAAGTGTGTGTCAAGTGTGTGTCAAGTGTGTGTCAAGTGTGTGTCAAGTGTGTGTCAAGTGTGTGTCAAGTGTGTGTCAAGTGTGTGTGTCAAGTGTGTGTGTCAAGTGTGTGTGTCAAGTGTGTGTGTCAAGTGTGTGTGTCAAGTGTGTGTGTCAAGTGTGTGTGTGTCAAGTGTGTGTGTCAAGTGTGTGTGTCAAGTGTGTGTCAAGTGTGTGTCAAGTGTGTGTCAAGTGTGTGTCAAGTGTGTGTGTCAAGTGTGTGTGTCAAGTGTGTGTGTCAAGTGTGTGTGTCAAGTGTGTGTGTCAAGTGTGTGTGTCAAGTGTGTGTGTCAAGTGTGTGTGTCAAGTGTGTGTGTCAAGTGTGTGTGTCAAGTGTGTGTGTGTCAAGTGTGTGTGTCAAGTGTGTGTGTCAAGTGTGTGTCAAGTGTGTGTCAAGTGTGTGTCAAGTGTGTGTCAAGTGTGTGTGTCAAGTGTGTGTGTCAAGTGTGTGTGTCAAGTGTGCTGTTGTGTCAAGTGGTGTGTGTGTCAAGTGTGTGTGTGTCAAGTGTGTGTGTGTGTGTCAAGTGTGTGTGTGTCAAGTGTGTGTGTGTCAAGTGTGTGTGTGTGTCAGTGTGTGTGTGTGTAGTGTGTGTGTGTGTGAAGTGTGTGTGTGAAGTGTGTGTGTGTCAAGTGTGTGTGTCAAGTGTGTGTGTGTGTGTGTGTGTCAAGTGTGTGTGTGTGTGTGTGTGTGTCAAGTGTGTGTGTGTCAAGTGTGTGTGTGTCAAGTGTGTGTGTCAAGTGTGTGTGTCAAGTGTGTGTGTCAAGTGTGTGTGTCAAGTGTGTGTGTCAAGTGTGTGTGTGTCAAGTGTGTGTGTGTCAAGTGTGTGTGTGTCAAGTGTGTGTGTCAAGTGTGTGTGTCAAGTGTGTGTCAAGTGTGTGTGTCAAGTGTGTGTGTCAAGTGTGTGTCAAGTGTGTGTGTCAAGTGTGTGTGTCAAGTGTGTGTGTCAAGTGTGTGTGTCAAGTGTGTGTGTCAAGTGTGTGTGTCAAGTGTGTGTGTCAAGTGTGTGTGTCAAGTGTGTGTGTCAAGTGTGTGTGTCAAGTGTGTGTGTCAAGTGTGTGTGTCAAGTGTGTGTCAAGTGTGTGTGTCAAGTGTGTGTCAAGTGTGTGTGTGTGTCAAGTGTGTGTGTGTGTCAAGTGTGTGTGTGTGTGTCAAGTGTGTGTGTGTGTTTTTTTGCGACCCCACGACTCTTTCAAGTCGGTAAGCAAGCCACTCGTGGATTATTGCCACGGCCTCCACTGCTGATGCGTGTCCGTTGCATTCGGAGGTCTTAGCTATGCGCCGGCCCTGAGGCCACTGAGACTGTAAAATGAATTACAACAGCCAAAAACTCCTAAGAGCAGCCGTTCCAAAAGAAATCACTAAGGAAAAAACGTGCAATGCAAAGAGAAGCAAGGATTGGTTCCAGGCTAAAGCCAGGGAAATGAATTGCCAAGGTGAGAAGTGTGAAAATGCGCTACAACATCCAAGACAAAGGGTGGAACAAATGTCAACACCTAATACCTCGGAAGCCTCTCTCAGCCGCAGCTTCAGAAATCAGCAATGGTTTCAGCAGCAGCTGCATCAGCCAGCCCACTCTGCCCGGCCAGCGCACCACTCTGCCCACGCAAGCGCTCAAGTGCCAGAAGACTCCAAAGGAGATGCCACCGCAGCTGCCAGTGGTGTCCTGTCAAGTTCAAGGTTAATCAGCCAGATCTGAGTCACTTGTGCTTGAATGTCTGGTGTCAAGTGATCCATTTGATCTGGCAGTCTTCCATCGTCATACACAAACCATTTGTTCTGATGAAACAACGCCGCACGCCAATGCCCGCTGGAGGTTCTGTTGCCAATATGAAATGCCACTGCAACAATGCGATATGATTTCCAACAAATCTGATTGTCAGCAGTGAAGTGTGGAAGTTGCAGCAAGCCGTCATGAAAACCCACTCTCTGCTGACATTTGATGTTGTTTGAATCCAAATTTCGACCAATGGCAAAACAGCATACAGCAGTGGCCTCGACAAATGATCTACAAAGACCTGAGGGGTCATGCCAAAATCGGATCAAATCAGAGAGACTGCAGTGGTCCAATGTCGCGTCAGAAAAAGACAGGGTGATTGGTTGCAGAACATGTCCTTTTTCATCCTGTAGCTCGGTGCCCTTAGAGCAATCCATCAGAGTAGGCTGTGGAACCCAATAATTGTTCACAAATTGCGGTGCCATAAGCAGCAAAATGTGAGACGTGAAGTCACTCAGATCGTTTTGTCGATCCTTTTCACGCAAGCCCCGATCTCCCCCAGGGAAAAGTTCCTGGAAAGGTGCAAAGTCGTACAACGTAAGTGGCACTGGCGTCCATGTGGTCAGTGCATTGATCAATCCAAAACCTTTGTGCCAAACAGCGGCTGTAACCTTGGAGCACAAGATGCTCACCCAGGCTAGGCATTGCAAGGCCGCATTGGCATAACACAAGGTTTGTGAAGGATTGAGCAACAGCCGCACCAGTCGAGGCCTCAAATCATCTTGCTCAATTGCTGAGCCAGAGCTGAACGTTGCATGCTGTGACATTTCACCCTGCATTGAACAAGCAGCCAACATGAGTGAAAAGTCAGAAATTTGATCTGATGCCACAACTCCGGACTGTTCCTGGATGACACCGTCCATAACCACGGAGTGGCCTGCGTTGGCGTGTCTGCCATGCGCCGCAACGAATGAAATCTCACCGTGGTGGAGCTGTCCATCAATCTGACCACTCCTTCCAGGTGTTTCAACACCTCGTTGACTGGTAGGCACTTGTCCGTTGTTGGTTCCAGACGCTGAGCCTGAGGGTTCCACTTCAGGTACGGCATCTCCATGTTTCGGTCCAGGATGTTGAGGCGCCAGCATTCCTTGACCACGTCGTCCTTGGTCTGAGATTGGCTCAGATTGTGCACTCTGTCTCGCAAGGCCGTCATCATGGTCAATGCAAGTTGGTGTCTCAAAGGATCCTTGGAGGAGCTTTGACCCGATTTCCAAGCCTGTGTGACCTGAATGAGATCGGGAATGATGCTCCCATTGCCAATGTTGACGTGGACCAGGAACTGATGTTCGGTCAGGAGGGAGTTCAACGTGTCCTCCTGCCTCAAAATCATTCGACCCATGAGTT